GAACTTCCCTGTAGGCAAACAAAAGGAAGGGGAGCCACTGGTCCCAATCTGCTCCTGTGTCCGACACAAACTTCCTGAGCCTGGATTTCAGAGTCTTATTAAACCTTTCAACAAGGCCATCAGTCTGTGGGTGATATGGGGTTGTCTTCACTCCTCGAATCCCGAGCAGGCTGTACATGTCTTAAAGCATCTTGGAGGTGAAATTAGTGCCCTGGTCTGTGATGATCTCTCGGAATCCCAACTCTTGCAAACAACTGGATCAAACGGTTTGCTATCTGCCGGGCCTTTATCTTCTTGAGTGGGAACACCTCTACTTTGTTACAGTGCCCAAACATTTGCATACAACTGAGTATGTATTACATGTCTCGAAAGGGCCAACACAAGATAAGGCAGTAAAGGACAATACTCTTTTAAGTAACATACAACTATCTATCCTAAAGTTCGGCTCTCAACCAAACAAAATGTAATTTTAAGTAGGATTAGTGCATTAATTTTACAGCCATTTACACATTAACTCCATTATTAGGGAGAATATGATAACTAATTAGATTGTAATGTGTCATTTTTATGTTGTATAAATGTACAGTATCATAATTAAGGAAATAGACTCCATGTAGTTGTTTTTTTCTTTTCTTTTTGTCTCTTTTTGTATTTTTTATTACTTATATATGTATGGAGCAGATATATCATAAAAAACACAAGCTTTAAAGGAGTAATAAATATAGGAAATATATTTAAATCACATAACATAAGGGTGAATGAGTGCATAATATATTAATAACATTACGCTTAGAAATTAACCTCACTATATGTCCATAAAAGAAGGGGTTTTATATCACAACAAAAAAATCTGATGAGGATCTTTCTTTGGGATCTATGCAGCATGTGCCTTGCCAACCTAACATGCACAAAGGATTTCTTATCTTTTCCTGAAATAGAAAAGGGATGAAACAGATTAAAATAAACTGTGGTCTGCTGTTTCCTTATGAAAATGCATTTGTGATTAGATCCAAATGCGGTGTCATTTTTACGATGAGACTGCACAAACAATGCCTCATTATTTCATCAAAATAATTGCATTTCATGTTTGTTGTTGTTCTTTTTAAGCCAGCCTACAGTGGTGGAAAATACACACAAATAGGAAGGTGTGAATGATAGAAAAAACCTAGATAATCCTCCTGCAAAGGTATGTGTGCATATCTCTGTGTTTGAGAGAGTTCAATTGTACATTAAAGGTCATATATATGAAATTTACTTGCCACTGGATTTTTCGGTGGAGCACCAGGTTCTCAGACCAAAACAATGGATTGTAAACAAACTCCCTAAAACTGTCTTTGTGACCTGGGCTGCAACGTTAATCCTTCAGGACCAATGAGCTTGCCAAAGTACGTCCACTAGCAGGGCTTATTTTTGCCACTGACAGGCTCAGATTGTTATTCTAAGTGTCTGACAAGATTATGTAAAGGATCCCTACAGAGATAGAGCTTTTGTTTGAACACCACCAGACTACATAGACAGTAATTTTACCTTGCAGATCATCATAACATTCAATGTGGACAGAAACAAAATAAAACTCTTATAGTCTTTCCACTGTTGCAACAATCACCAACTCTGGTTTGGTTGAAATAAATCTTTAAATCACCGACGTAGAGACTGCGATAGCAACATAGGCAGAGGGAGTGTGACATCATTCTCTGCTCAGGACACCATAACTCGCACATCATATATAACACACATCACACATTTTAGGTACCCCTCTAGTGTCATTTGTAGATGCACTTGCCATCAAAGTCAGGTGATGTAGTTTGAAGTGATAGTCCACCTATGAAGTTGTTGGGGTGGATGGATGGCTCAAACAAAAACAGGACTTTAAACCAGGACACCGCTGTTTGTGTCCTGTGGGAAACCAAAAGTAAACTATTGAAAAAGGTAAAATTTATTTTAAGTAATGCACTTCAGTTACATCAGGTACGTTGTGTAATTTACGATCTTTTCCAAAATTTTACAGTTTGTTTTTTTCATAAAACCTATCCAGACTGCAGCTTTTTTATCACATTACATTTTTAATAAAACTAAACTCCTCCCCTAGTTCACAAGTTCAGACTGGGACTAGTTAACATGAGCAGCCATAAGCAGCATGGCTGAGAAGAAAAAGATAAGAGCAACGCCTACAAAATGTGTCACAGAAAGAAAGAAGGAAGCTGACTGCTTGAACAACAAGAAATGAATCTTTGCAAAGAAGACAGGTTTAAAAAAGAAAAAGCAGTGTCATGGATTTGCATGTTAACAGCAGTAGGAATGAGCACTTGTGGGCCTACTGAAGCAGAAGATGAATTGTGGGTGTTTATAGGCACTCAGTTAGGTGGTGGTCAGCTCCTTTCCTCTCAGCTTTTTTGTTCTCAGTGTCTCACCTGATTTCCTTTATAAGCAGCATTCCTGTCTTATCTGTGCAAGGCATGAAGCCTACTGCAATCTACAACTGCTCTCTCTTAACAGACACGCGCACTTCACACACCTTCACTTCACTTTTCTTTAAAGGACTGTCTTCAAGCATCATCTGTGATAAGTTTAGTCTCTCCCACAGGCGTCAGCCATGGTGATTACAATCCAGACCAGAGACCAAGCCCTCTGCACCACATACACACCACACACACAGTTCTTCCTTTCCTGAATCGTAATTGTAAAAATCGTAAAAATTCCATAAAAATAATAAATAAAAATTAAAGCTGCAACCAGTGATGAACGGGCCCTCGCACTCACTTCAAAATGGCCAACTTTGACGGC